CACTGCTCTTTTCGTTATCATTGTTGACTTAAGTCATGGCTACTACTGTAATCCTGATTCATTCTGGAATGCTAGAAATTTACATGATACAAGGTAAAATGATTAAAAAATAGCAATGTTTACCTTTAGTGACAGGAGATTTGAGGTTAGCATCAGCGACTGTGCTTTATTCACTTCATCATTATTATTGTTTGTGCATGTATATTTACATCCATAACCTGTACTGTAATATATATAAATAAGTTAAAATATTGCAATCAATGTATTTTGAATAACTATAGAAATTCAAATTTTGAAATTAATATGTGGTTTATACGATTGGAAATTTTGAGAGAAAAAAATTGAGAATTTTGTATGCCATAGTATGTATGAAGGTGCATTATTAAATAAGTCCGGCTCCTGAAATTGAACATGCACAAACTCATATAAGCCATGTGTTAATTTAAAATTTTAAAAACAGAATGCAACAATGAACGTCGGTTATATTGTTAAATAAAAAATAATAATAATATATTATTATCTAGTTCTCTTTTGAGTTCAACACCATCATACCGCTATTGTTAAGTTCTGTAATAACGCAAAGATTACAATAAAATTAAAATTATGAAAGAATAAAATAAGTGGGTACATCACCGTAAATATTAATACGACGCCTGCCAATACTAATACAGTAGACGCCGCTTATAAGACTCACTTTAGGACCAGCACAAAGTGAGTCTTATAACCGAATGAATCTTATAGGCGAAGTGGAAAAAAAAATTAATTACGTATTTATAAATGATCTAAATTTACGTTACTACCTTCCCCCTGATCGTCGGAGGGTTCTCGAGGTCGTGTATTCGAGAATCTGAGCAAATACACTCTATGATATAAATGTAAATGCATGCGCATATAATTTAATATAATGCAGTCAACATTACTATGTTTTATATTTTAATATGTATTACCTGACTCGCAGTTGTCACTGGGTTGGCAGTAGGAGTTTTAGGTGACACAAGTTAATTATTTAAAATACTCGAAAAAATAAAGAAACACACTGATTATTGCTCGTAAAAAGGAGTCCAGTTGTCGCTCGTAGAATTCGGTATGGAGAGGTTGTAAATCTGTTTTCGCGGTGCGCCTGCACTCTTGAGAAATTGTTGGATTGTGGAGAGGTGCTTATGCACTGATGAGAGGTGACGACGCGGTCAAGCCAGCCAGATTCGCAGGCGGTCCCATCAAAGGCCTCCGTGTTTCTAAAGATTTACCGTTATCCTTAGTGATAGAGACCCTGATTGGACCATCCCCTGTATCCGGCTTCGTAAGAAACAGATCACACAAGTGGCGACAGATGGTCACAACTATGAGTGAGTTTCTACGTGACCAAATAATGCGAATCGTTCCTTTCATCAGTGATTAATGGTATTTATTAGATTTTTTAGCGAATTTCTAAGTGTGACAACTCGACCGTTATTTATTTTATTGAATAAGTAAATAATATATACAATTATGATATGTGAGCATATCATTACAGTTCAATCCGGTAGTCAATGCATTTTTGGACTTAATTAATTTGGTACTGTGAAAGTATTACAGGACAAAGTTCTTTAAACCATTTATCCAAATGATTAACCATTTTCAGATCAAATGCTGGTGTTGGAAAACAAACAGCTATATGTGCAAGATCTTTGTTTTTATTAGTCTTGCTATCTGCGCCATAGCACTTGAACATGTCGTCTGAAATGTTTTTTTATTAAGTGACAACATCACAAATTGAGTATGATGTTTGATTTCATTTGCTTATGATGGTACAAGTAATCATAACATTGATTTAAGTAATCAATGACATCTTTGCACCCGTTAAAGGCCTGTGCCAGCGATTTGAGTATTGCCGTAGAAAAGTCACTTGGCACATTAGCAATTAAATCTGACTCGTCAAATCCGTAATTTGTTGCGAATCGTTTAATGCATATAAGATATAACCAACTGGGAAAATATAGGGTCGATTGATTGGTACTTAAATATTCTGCAACTGGCATCAAGTGGTCGTTTGATTTTATTACTGTCATTTAGTACAATAAACGTTTTTTTTTTTTTTATTGCGGTATGTATTACGATTGTACCCGTGTTGCATCAACATGCTTTGTGATTGGCTTGAGTTTATTCAAAACCATCGATTGTTCTTTACTGAAAATGTAATACTCCAAGTTAGAACTTAGGGAATGTGATACGTATTTCTCAAATGCTGAGTTTTCAGAAGCCATTTGTATCATATCTAATCTATCATCGCTTTTAAAATCAAACTTGTTCAAGCGTCCGCGAGACACTGTTACACACCTGGCGTATTCAGGGTGAGCATACGTGCTCACATTAAATTGTTTAAGACGAATTCGTGTGTGGACGGTAAAGTGAGCAGATTCAAACCACGCAAACATTATCGCAGCATGGATATGCTCAGCACGAGCCACTGACTGTCGGTCTCCCGGCCATGCTTAAAGGAAATAGGTTGTGCTCATCTTGAGCGTGCTCAGGTGTGGACTCGCTTTTATACACACTGGTTGTTGATCTTATTTGTAGAATGTTCCCTCGTCTAATCTTGCTGTAAGAAGATTTAATAACATTTTTTTGCCACAAAGCCAACAGTTTTTATAACCCGCCTCTTTTCGATAACTCATTCACTGTGGTCCTCTTAGAAAGTTTGTTAATTTTCATCATGGCAATAGTTTAATGGATTGCTAAGAACTTTTACAAGTATTGTGTCTATAGTAACCATATATAAGTTGGTTGACATATTTCTAAGGTTTTTTGACATTCTATCATGTTTACGAGACAATTTTTCAATTTTATTCCATTCACTAATTAATTACTCAAAATTTCCCTCAATAGTGTTTCGATGTAAAAAATTATATCGTTTTTATTTTTTATTTTCTACTTCACTACTTATTGTAGACTGAAATAGGTTTTTGGAATTCTGCGCTTCTGCTTCTATCTCAAGAGTGCTACGCGACAACAGTTCCTGGCAATTTTACCGGAGTTACTGCATCGATCACCTCCGCCTCATTAGAGTTCTTGGGAGAACAATTACAGTCAGCATAACTAGTATCATATTTAAAATTAACGGCTTGGGGTGAGTATGTAAATGTTTGATGCCTAGAAATGTCTAGTTGCAAAATGATTGAAGTAGAAGTGATAATATTAGAATAGTCTACAACCAAAGAGTGTTTGCCTTTTCAATAATTTTAATTTCACCAGATCTAAAGAAACTGTTATTCAAAGCGTTCAACGTCCAATCAGGTTTGGAGACATTCACTCAAAAGGTTCATTTGATTGCTCTATCCCTGAACACTGAGATCCGATGTCACAGTTGGCGTTAAAATCTAGTTTTTGCCTAACATCCTTTCTCAGCATTTCAGCTCCCAATGCATGAACTACATTATGTAATCATTACTTGGTTTTTGTTATTGTTAGTTTTAATACCGGTTTGTAAATATCTTTTATTCTAGGTTCAGACATTTTAACAGATTGGTCTATTATAGATGTTTATTTTCTTATCAGCAACATCCATTACTGCGTTGACTTGCCTTTTGAATACTTGCATATTTATTTTTTTTGTTCAGAGATACTGCTATCAAATTATCACTCAATAAGTGTGGAGAGTTTTGATGTGCCGTTTGTTCTACTGCATAGGTATTGTCAATATTATTGAAGATGATGCATCTTTGTTGTTTAAATTATAAAAAAACTTGTTAATATAGAAAATGAAGAAAAAAAAATTGAATTTATATTACTTATTTTGATTCTTCAGAATCCGAAGACGTATTCCCAATGGTCAGTACTGTAGGATGTAACTGAGCTCAACATTTCGTCAATTATGAAATCGATATCTTAGAACTTCTATCTCAGTATTCCTCTTATTTTGTGTGAAAATGAAATTTTTCCACATGGTGTCAACTCTTTTAATGTTTTCGATCAATAATGATTTTTTACGTTACTCTATTTGTAGGTAGTGTTCATTTTCAAGTGATTCTTCACTGAAGACCACGCCAGTTCAATAGGAATTAATTCTCAGTGATATGGCGGAAGTCTCAAAATAGTACAGTAGTGAGATTTGACCAGCTCATCCATACCATACTTGTCGTACTTAGGTTTAATTTGGTTAACTATTTCTAATAATTCAGTGATCACCATAGACCTCTATCAATCAATTCGCCTTTGTCTTTCAACCATTTAATGATATCGGCTTAGCGAGTTGACATATTTGAAATTTGTTTACACTTCACAAGGTTGTCCATTATAATAACACAGTTTCTATCCATTGCCAAATGTGTTCCCGTTCATTTTCGCATGATAGTCGTTTTGGGGTTTTTTTTTTCATTACTCTATAGGCCACCTGGTAGGAGACCGTGTTCCGACCTTATTTCTAGAACAATGAGCCTTATCACATTTGTTTGATAATACATTATTCATTTATTTCTTATCGTTATCTAAAAATAATGATGGGACAGTATCAAGTTTTAATCTGTTCTTTTTTTCAGTATTCATGAAATAATTTTGTTTTTGCGGAGTACCGATAGGAATCAGTTTACCAAAAATCATTTTGGCAAAAAATATATTTTTATAATGTTTGCTCTTAGCACTAACAACATTTTTCAACGGTCTTGTGTTTCTGGTTCCCTTGATCCTTTATTTTCGTTTTAATGATCAAATTTAATATTCCGTATAAGTCAGCAAACTTTTTTCTTTGGTTACATCTACTCAAACACGCTTAACCTTCTAAAAACTGAGCACGGCATACTCTTTTACCACTTTTTTTGGAGTTTGGTTCTGTACAAACCCAAACCAACATTAAAGTTAACTCATTTCATAGTAACCTATGGTCGTATAGGTAATGTTACCTTCCGGTATGTAAAAAACATTGGTTTATTTATAGAAGAAAAACGTAATAGCGACTTATACAGTTATTATAATAAAGATAATGGTTTATAAATAATTTATGTAGACTATCTATTAGGATATCCAGTTTAAGCATCAAAACCTCTAAAAATTGCTTCTTTCAGGAGAGCAATTTGAAAATTCTATGAATAAACAAAATTATAAAACATTGAATAAATTAGTTTTGAATACAATTTTTGGTACCTATGCATATTGGTCCTTAGCTATACGTTGAAGGTGGTATGGCATATCCGGAATCGACTTTAATAGAATGTTCTATAGTAATGATGATAAATGAAAAATTATTAGTGAAAAATATTTAATTAAATAATCAATGCAATTTTGTAGTAAGTCAATTAAAAGAAAAAATTACTTTTACATACACAAACTAAATGATCACTGAAAATGTTATTTATTTCATGTAATATGAAATATGATGTTTTAATCCATAAATATCAGCAGCCAAACTCAGATATATCATCCATAACTATGTAGAACAATGTATCTCGTATACCACTGGAACGAATATTCGAATACTGTGATAAAACAAATTTAATTTTGTTAATGACTTCATAATAGCAAATGTAAAATAATGTTATAAATACTATTATATCCACAGGATATTTATTTTTTTGTATATTCCATTATGCCTATTTTTCTGTTGTTTAAAGATGTTCTGGTCATACCATTAAATTTATTTGTTATTTGTGTAGTCCAAAATCCTTTTTTAAAGCTGATATTATAAATATAATATGCAAAAAAATTAATTCATACATCATACGCTACAAAATAATTAAAATGAATATGACGAATAGCCGGCAGATTTTTTAGTAGGGTCACAGCTTTATCTCCAATAAAAACCAATGGTTGTTTATTGTGGTTTGTGTTTGGTGAAGGATTTGGATCCAGAAGATTTAGTTTTTTATGCATATAATATTTTGCCAAATATACATTCCTTAAATATATTGGAGTCCTTTCTCGACCATAAGATCCGACATCGATAGTGATAAATTGTAAATTTGCATAGACTATAGCAATGAGTACGATAGAAAAACACTTTGTAATTGAAAAACAATGATCCAGAATTACTAGGCTTTTTACATCGGATATTTTTACCGTCAGTAAGCAAGCGCCTAGGCAATTAGAAAAATTTGTTTTCATGTAAAATACATTTGAAATCTCTAACCAATTAGAACAGCCATCCTGTTGGCTGTAAAACTGACAACAATGCTTGACATGTCTCTTTAACTATTATTCCGAACGTATTAATTCCAACTCGAAAACAAAATTACAGAATAAATATCGCACCACCCTAAGTATCATTATTAGAATTATTTCCACAATAAATTGTTATATAAGCATGCGTTTACAAGAAAAAACTGGCCACAAGTGCTCTTAAATATACACAAACCAATTCTTTTAAAAAGAATCCAAAATTTACATGCAATCACATTTAATTAATTTATTAAATAATAATATGATTATATCAAATTACCATTAATATGTTGGATAATTAGTATGACCATTGTACTTATTACTTATTATTAGAGCCCGGATTTATATACATTTAAAAAGTGTCAAATATGATGCAAGGTTAATATAAAATATAATACGTACATTTTACTATGCCCCTAAAAAGTTCCAGGTCGAGCCTGGGCTTGACCGGCTCGCCCCGTGCAATCAGCATCAGGTAGCATGAACCTAAGTGCTATATTATGTGCACTTTTCGTGTAATCTTCCACACTATCCTTGAGGTGTTACACGTAAGTGCGTTTTTTTTAAAGTGGTTTTCGCCTGTAGCCCTATTCCACTGTTTTACCCTACCTAGTTTAAAGTTTTTTAGTTTAAACCACATGTGTGTGGAGAAACCATACAACATTCATGCCGCAATTGGACATTTTTTTTTTTTTTCGTACAATCTGTATAAAACTAATTACAATAAGCACAACGGAGAGCCAAAAAACTAAAATTATAAAATTCTTACTTCCAAAAAAAAAAATGGCTTTATCTGAGAAAATAATCTAAAGCAAGTTCTGAAATCACATCGATATCCGAAATTGTTGCGAGTCGCTACTCGCTGTAGTTCCTGAGTGGAGAAGAACCTCTTCAGTTCAGTTCTAGCAATATGTACTAAACAGAACTGTATGATTCAAAGTTAAACAATAATGACACATTTGGATCGGCAACGGGTATGCATTGCTAAACCTTTACACAATGAATTGAAAGATCAATGCTTTAAAAATAGTGTTGTTAACATTCATGCCGCAATTGGACATTTTTTTTTTTTTTATTAGTTTTTACAATTCTTGTAACTACCTAGACGAGCGTATAAACGAATGCAATTAACCACGGACAAATTGGCCGTATTTATTGTTACTACTGAAAACTGTTGTGCCAAAAAATGTTGAGAAAATCAAATAAATGTCCCATATATAAAACAAATACATACCTGTATAAATTGTCATGCATCACAGTACTTATAATTCATCATTACATTAAATAAAATATTAAAACAAAAAAACGCAATCAGAAATTAGCACAAAGCCGCAAACACGTTTAGAAATATCAGCAATAGAAAAAAATTAAGGTTAGGAAATTATTACGAGCGTTCACGCCAGCATGTCATTTTGGCATCCGGTGCGCGCGCATCACTGGCTTAGTGCATACTTGTAATAAGTCACAAAATTGAAATTGTGCAGGAAAGCTATTTTATATTTGAACTTTTTTGACACCCAATTAACTTATAATTAATATTTAATCAATAAGTTTCTTTCCTAATTGAAATTAACTTAAAAATATATGTATATTTTCTTTTATAAAACTTTTTAAAAAAATGAAAGGAAACAACATTGATTGATTAAATTTCTTCAAGGAATAAAAATAACATTTTTCTATACTTAATAATTTAATGGTATGAATCTATAAACTAGGTCTAAGAAATAGACAATCAAAGCTCGGCTGATTAGTTTGATAACATTTATTAATATGTTATAATTATTATTATTTATGAAATTATATTAATAATATTAATAATAATAATATGATACAATAGGCATTGAATACCATATTTCGTACTCCAAATTGGGTTATTTTTCTTTAAATAAACAAGAAATGACATTTATAGACCGTGTGCACTGAGCCATCGTTGTATTATTTTTTATCGTAAACTGAGATAAGATTAGACTTAATAACTATGTTTATTTTGAGATTGTATTGTAGACATACTATTTTGAATTTGAAGTAAAAACTATAAATATTATAAAATAACAGAATACATTTTTAACTATAAAATAAATCATATATAACATTATATTATTACGTACTGCGTTTTCCAACGTTATGTCTTGCGACTGCTGCGTCGTCGTATTCAAAAATGATTCTTCACCATCTTCATCCATTGTAGATGTTCCAGAAATTTGAACCTCATGATCACGTAAAAATTCCAACTCATTAAAGTACCAAACCGACGGCAAGTATACATCGTCGATACCTGCACCTGACTTTTTGCTAGCTACTACTTTCTTCAACTCACGACGATAATTAGACCTCAATGTGTTAATTTTTTTTTTTGTTGCATTTATGTCAGCAGTCAGATCAATTTCTTTCAATTTATTTGTTAATTGTACATAACCGTCTTCTTTCAAAATTCTATTTTTGTACAAATCACTTTTAACTTTCCACGTAGCGGGTAAACTACGGTACAAACTTATGAATTCGCGCCAAAATTCTTCATTACTTACCTTATTCGCCATTTTTGGACGAAGATATATACAATTTACGAAAAAAAAGACAAACAAGACTCGACTGCTCCACACAATTCAACTAGATCGACTGATAAATTGTACATTCATAGACATACACGGTCAATCATCTTAACTGATGATAAAAATTCAAACATGTTTGAATTTCATCAGTCATAAAATTTGACTGTCAGTCATTAACAGTCATACACATATACGGTCAGTCATGAATGTCAATCACGTTGATTGTCATTCAAAACTGACCGTGTATGGGGGCCTTGACGATCTGTGACAACCACTCTACTAGGTCCTGGCGCATAAATATCAGAAACTAGAAATTTAAAAAAATAAATATCAATTCATTGTTTCCGACTATTTAATAAAAACAATAATACATTTATATAATATAAGGAAGAATATTAAAAATAAATAAATATTTAATCAAAAGAATTTTTTAGGTATCTTATAAGTATTTTAGATTTTATGACTATTAGAGCCAACAAACACCAGAAAGTTAAAAAAAAATAATACATTCATATATGAAAATTAATTTTATTATATTTATGTTTATAAATAACATCTTATACTGATCGACTTACCATCATCAACAACTGGTTCAGCTGGGACAACCACTCTACTAGGTCCTGGTGCATAACGATCATCACTATCATCATCATTGTAACTTGTACTGTCACTCAGATACTCTAAAATATAGAAACAAACCGGTATTAATTATTTAGTTATTAAAATTATAGGAGTAATTAATATATAGTATATACCTTCCCCTCTAATTGCCTTAAGAGCATCATTTGCGGCTTGAAGAAGCCCTCTATGGATCTTTGATGAAGCAGCCACTAGAAAAAACATTAATACACCAAATTAAAACAAAATAAATAACACTTAATTTGCCTATATGCATATAGTATATTACCATCTAATTTTTTGAAATTTTGTTCTGTGACCTCAAGTTGCTCTGTAAATTGCTGTGCCCTCATCATCATCTGCTGCTGTTGATGCTCGGTGTACTACTATAAGTTAAATATTAAAATTGTTAGGATACCCACACTACCTTATTAATATAATTAAATATATATATTTACAAAATTATTTTATCAAAAAACTTCAGAAGTGTTTGTATTATTATAGTACTGGATTATTTTTGTTTTAGTATTAATATTTAAGTAAAACACTATTAAAACAAAAATTAAAAAATGTTCAACTAGATCAGTGGTCGGCAACCTTTTTGGATTCCCAGGCCACATTCATAAATTAATAAGAGTTCGCGGGCCAGACAAAAATAAAAATCGTATATTCCAAATTATTTATCAAGAAAAAAATAACTGAAAAGATCTTTTGTTCTCCGGTTAGAGATTTTTGTAATTTTTTAACTTCAATTTCTTTTAACTGTCTGTGTAAGGTGTCATATTTAACTTTATGAATGGTTTCATAATGCCGTTCAATATTGTATTATTTTATACAGAAATAAATTCACGACAAAAAAGGCACATGACTTTTTCTTTATTTTCGAAAATAAAGTATTGATTGATCCATTTATGTTGAAATACACGACATTCAGAATCTATTTTTCTTTTTTCACTGACATTCATTATAATTTGTTTAAAATTTAAATTAACTTTAAATTAATAGCCAAATAAACGATCAATATAATTAATATAAAATATAAATTATAATTTTAATAAAACTACACACGACGCAAACCGCACATACACGAACGAAGAACGCAATGTTACTGAACAGAATCGAAAATTAAGATTATAACATAAATACACTCGTCGTTTCTACTCTATCTTATCGGTAACTGTCAAGGTATATCTACCGTTATAAAATATGGCAGATATAAGCGTTCAATTATACAATATGATTTTTTTGATATGATATTCAATTAAATTTCATTGTCGTAGAATTTAAAGCGGGCCGTATACAATTCATGCGCGGGCCGCCGGTTGCCGACCACTGAACTAGATGGATTACTTTTAAACGACTTGAGCAATGTTGAGTAATTTAAGCTTTCAATGAAGTAGTTGATTAGAAAATTAACTAACTAGTTAAGTTAAAAACTGAAATGTCCACCTATGATACTAATGATAAACTGAGTATGTAAATAAATCACAATACATTGTACTGAAAAACTTACAGTCTTTGACAGCTTCTGTGACTTCATGATTACTGCTGGGTGCTTCTGCTTGTTTGATCACTGTTTCAACCACTGTATAAAATAAAAAATGAATCGTTATAGATATTCTTAATTATTAAATATTAATTAACACCATCACCATCAACTTTAACGCCAGCATCATCAACTTTCACACCATCATCACTCGAGGCAATGCATGCTGTTATCAATTCTTCAACCACTATAAAAAATAAAATGTTATATATATTAAATAAATCCACAATAATATGTATATTATATTAATTACCACTATATTTACCGTCATAGACTGTGCAGCACACATTGCATAAACATTTTGCATTTTCGTCCCCAAAATATTCTGTACTGTATTGAACTGTTATTTCTTCACCGCTTTTAATGTCATGGACAGCCTTTAAATAAATTTTGCCATGTTCGTGGGCTACAAATGTGTAGTTCGGAAAGCAGCTGTGGTTTACACAAACGCTATTGGCCCCAGAAGTAAGTGCGGTTCTTCTTTTTTGTTAGACTTGGCTGAGTATATTATTGAGAAATCATTAACTTCGTAGCTCTTTACCTTTATCTTGGCCGCAACCAATTTGTTCATCTTTTCCTTTTTCTAAAGTTTTAATTTCCCATCCACCCATTGTGGCTGAAATGGTTGAACAAAACGATGGGGAATTTTAAATATTTTCTTTCCCTTTAAAAAAGGATGAAAATATTTAATATACTCCCCATCGTTTTCCTCAACAATTGCAGCCAAATAGGGATTACCATAAGTCCAAACATTCACAGCATCTCCTGGATTAAAGCCAGGAGATATTGTGTCTGTTTGGACTACTGGCGTCCCGCGAAATTTTAAAACATGCTACGTCTGATCATTTAACCAAAGATCTGCGCATGCGTGTGGACATAGTTATTTTTCAAGTCGGGTGTTCATCAAAATATGTTCTCCGGAGTGTGATAAGAAATTTGATCATGGGTGATGGGTCTGATACTCTGATATCATAATTACTAATTAGTACTGCTAAAAGTTATTGAAATAATTAATTATTTTACATTCAATTATTAAGAGGTAGGAAAATTTGGCCGTAAAAACATGCTGAGAACTTTGATTTAAATAATGAATTGGAGATGAAAGAAAAAAAAGTCCAAAGTTACTACGATATTAGATTTTTCTAAAAGATGTTCTTCAGTTTCTCAAAGTATGATTAGTCTTATGCATTTTTGTAAAAAAAAATAGGTTAATATTATAAATTAAGAGTATTTACCTACCTAATATTAATTTGAATATAATTTATAACTAATAGATAGCCAGGTTGGTGTGTACTTTCGAGATTATAATCATGTTAATTTATGAACACTGAATTGAAAAAATATATTTTTGTCATTGAAATCGAAATCTACTAAAAATAAAAAAGTAGGTATTCAAAAAATATTTGGAATACTTTTTGGGAAATATTCCAAATACTTGAGAATATTATTATCATAAACTATTCGAATACATATTCTGAATACTTTTTAAAAGTATTTTACCCATGTCTAGAAATCAGCAACATCCCTTTTTTAGTCTCAATTAATCCTAATAAAAAAACAAAACAGATAAATACAATGAAAGTATAATATATTCTGAATAATAATAGGTATGTCTAAACTTATATTTAGGACTACTTTGCACTATGTGTGGCTCCTAATAATTTATTATTTTCTACACAATATGATAGGGAATGAGGTGTTTTCAATACTTTTGAAGGTAATTGTGTTGGATCAAATTGTTTCCTTTTATTTTGAGGTCTTGATGGTATTTTCTGCACATAACCATGTTCTTTGGTTCTTTTCCATTTTGGATTTCTTCCTGCTGCTAAATTCCTTCTACCACCTATTTCTGTTTTGCGCCTAGCTCTAGTAGTAGGTTGAACTCCTATTTGCTTAGTGCCCATTAATTTGGGTTTCTTTGAATTTGGATTTAATCCAGAATATTTCCCAAAAGTTTGCATAGCAGAATTAAGGCTTGCATGCGTACAGACATTTGTTTGAAAAGAATTAACAAAAGATTTCATTGATGGTAAAAAATATTTTTTGTCAGATTCAAATGCTTGTTTCATTTTCTCAATAACTTCGTTAAAATTTGTCATAGCATTTTCAAAATCTTCAGCTGGAGGTGTTTCTAGAAGATTGTTAGGTTGATCTTCTTCAATCAATTGCATACTTTTGCTTGTATCTGTGTCTTGGTAACTTAATTGATTTTTACTGTACACTGTTGCTATATTTATTTTATCTGTATTAGGATTTTCAATTTTTGATGGACCATACCATCCAGATTCAATGTCTGAAGAACCTGTAGCTATGATATGAAGTTTTTTTCTCGTCTCTTCAGTTGTGGGTAAACAAATATTGAGATCAATATTTAAATCATTAGCAATAAAAATTTGGTGTTTGCATGGAAAACCTGTATTTCCTTGGGGACAAGGACATATTCCATGGTTTAGATCCACGGTATATTGAGTATTTCGTAACTTGTTATTCACCTCAAATAGTGAGCAATGTGTATTACTTATTTTATATAATAAATTAGTTTTTAACGTTTTACTAATGTTCATTTTATTTTTAAGGTATTGTGGGGGTCTATTAGCTGCGATATCTAACAGTTTAATTTCATAAAAAGCATCCAAGTCGTTAACAATGAAAAAAAAAAGCTGGACTGGAGAATACGCTTTTGTCCTATCAAGTATAACATCTTTTATTATCTTTATACCAGCTTCACTGATGTTGTTAGTATTTTGTCCCCGTGTAATTAAACCTTTTCGAAAGCAAAGTGCCCACTCTTGTCTTCTTTGATATAAATTTTGAAGATATTTAA